CTCCTGGTTGCCCGAGGCCTCACTGTCAGTTAAGATCATGGTTAGCTTGAAGGCAGTCTTAAATGGAAATACAGAAGAGTGCATATATAATCATTTCTCGATCTGTGACTAAGACATAGGTACCTGGATGAGAACCATGCCTGACATGGCTTATTGTGACCTTGAAAATTCTTAAGGAAAAAAAAATATATATAATGTATGTATGTATATGTATATATGTAAAGACATAAAGTCACATTGTTTAGTAATTATTAGAATTTGCATGAGAGCTTTAATTCCAAATATTAATGACTTCTTGCTACAACAGAAAGATTACTGCAGGGATATGCACTGCGGTTGTGGATCTGACAGAGACGTTCTCTCCCATTTTTCCTGAGAACAAGGATTATTTATGATCCCACCACTCCTCTGCACGGTCATTCGCTTACACATGCCCTCCTTTTCTTATAGGGGTCAAGACTGGGACTGAAGTCCTAGAATCTCTCATCCAAAGTCAAGACAAATGAGTTAGTTCCTGAAAGCTAACCCTTTTCTAATTGGTGACTGCTATTTCCCACTGTTTTGTCTCTCCCTTGCAGTAGATTGTGAGCCTAAAGTGGTGGCATGGAGCAACAATAAAACCATAAACACAACACGAGACCCTTACGAGGAGCCGTATTCACAGTCAGTAGGCGGTCTCAGTATGATGATGAAGCACCATGAAAAACCTGCTGCTAAGGCCTAGTTAATTAAAATCCTTGTGGGGAAATTTCAAAGCTTTCCCTTTTTAGTATAATTCCTTACATTTCAACGGCAATTTACAGCTCACACAGCGCTTTCGCGTGAGGTTAAAAATGTCACACTAAACCCTGACGACACAAAAGCTATGCAAATGATGAAAGGGATGAATGACATGTAAATACCAATTTTCATCTGTTATTTCATTCCGAAACACATACTAAAATAGTCTGATCTAATTGTGATTGCAGGCAAGAGATAATCTCTTTTATCTGGGTTATTAGAGTTAAACAACCCATGCCTACACCAGTTCATCTGGCAAAGACACTCCGAAAATGGCTTTTGTTCTTACGACCACCATTTGCCTTAAGTTGAATCGTTAATGGTCATTTTGGTTTGTCTAGAAACCTTATTAGAGCATGAAGGCTCGTGGTGACGAGCGCCAAGCACCAGAAAGCTTGTTTTATTAAAGATCATTGTATTGGTAACAATTTTAGATTTAGAAATTATGTTGAGGGAGCCACAGAGAGTTGCTCTGTGTGCTGTGTGCAACTGGCTTGTCGGGATTAGCGCCTTAGTCTGCAGTATTGTTTCAAGTAAGGAGCCAAATGAAGCCATTGCTGTTCGCTGTTCCACACATCAGTCAGATGGCCAATGTCTCTCTGTCTCAGGATCTCACTCAAGAAGCCGGGCTACATTTAGCTGTCATGTTACATCAGCGTCCTTTTGACTGTGACAGTTGCTCAGAATATAGGTGGGTTTTGACATACTTCACAGTCGTGAGAAAGAGTGGTCGTCTGTTGCCTAGACTGTCCTTCAAGAGAAATGTGTTTGGTGCTTTCCTCGTTACTAGTCTGGCAGTGTGATGCGGGGGAGGACAGTTCTAGAAATAGATCACCATTTTTATCATCGTAGCAAGAGCAAAACACTCTGTGATTTCTCTCTGGTGATACCAACCTTGGTCTCCTGGGTCAAGCTGTGGCCCCAAAGTTCACACTGCTCTTTAGAAAGGGGTCTCCATGCTCAGCCAGTATATATGGAGTGGATAGTTATACTCAAATCCTTCAGGATACATTATCTACATAAATCATTTAGTTTGGTGGCTTCTTTAAATTCCAAACAGCTAAGGGTCTTCCACAAGTAAAGTGTATCACAAAAAGAAATGAGGATGGGAAATTTAGAGGAGGAAGCCAAGAATTCAGGGAACGGAGGGTGTATTTCCAGCTAAGGGAAGTGGCAAGGCCCCTTTCCAGTTCCAGAGAAGCCTCCTCACACCCGTTCATCTGCACAGCCCTGCCCACCATGTCATCTATAAAAGTTAAGCCCGTAAATATTTGGCATTGATTTTTTTTCCTGTGTATACTTCTGTGTGAGGGTGTCAGATGTTTGAGTTACAAACAGTTGTTAGCTGTCATCTGGGTGCTTGGAATGGAAACCCAGTCCACAAGCCTTTTCCTTTACTCCTGGGGTCCTCTCACGTGTGTAGCATCGTTCTTATGCTGATGCCTGCTTTAAACTCCGGTCTTTGCTACAAATGGACACAAATGACTATGGCATGAAGGAGGTATAGCTTTTACTTAAGAAGTAGAGTCGGGTAGAGAAGAGTTAATTTACTAAATAGCTCTATAATTACCAGTTCCTATCTTCAACCATCGACTAAAGTGCTCTCCCGATGCTCCCTCAGAATGCACTCTGTGGCTGGAAATAGTGGTTCACACCTATCTTCCCAACCCTTGGGAGACACAGATAGTCAGACTGGGAATTTGAGCCTATTCTGGGATTAATAGCAGAATTCAGTCTCATGAAATCAATCAAGCCAACAGCTAAACAACAAGAAGACCTACTGTGACCATGTTGGTCTCTTTTCCTTTCCCGTTCTCCTTAACTTTGCTCTTGTCCTGGCTTTCAAAACCACCCTCTTGTCTTGGACAGTAATTGATGCATAGCAAACTATGCCAACACCCAGTAGTTTAGAAAAAATTGTTTATTCCTGTTCCTCTACCCGTGGGGAGTTTATCTAGGCAAGGCTGAGACAGGTCTCTCTGCTTCCTTTTGGAGATCTGACAGGCAACAGAGTTTCAGGGTCCTGTGTGTCTGATCCTCAGTCTATCATTCTAGCTGTAGTACATATGGTTTGACTGGTACATTAGTAAAAAGGGAGGAGAACAAAATGGCATGTCAGGTCCTTGAAGAACAAGGCTAAAAACTGGCAATTTTTTTTTGTCTGTCTATCTGCCATTAATCAAGGCAAATCACATAGATAAGGAACTATGGCCTCGGTGAGTAGGTAGGCCATGAGAATTCAGGGTCAGTGATACAGAAAAACAGATTTCCCTTCATGAGACCATTTTCTTCTTTGTATTAAGCCACCCTGTCTTGATCTCTCCACCTTCCGTCGTTTCTTAAATTCTCCTCCCTCCACCTTTTGTATCATTGTATATAGAGTTTCTGTAGGACTCGGATTCTCAGCCATAGTTGTATTTCTTGCTTTTCTCTTCTTAAGAAAGCTTATCCAAGCTCAGATTCACTGGTCTCCAGTGACCATTTCCAGCTTGCCGCTCGATACGTTTATGCTACCATTTGAAATCACCTAAACACATAGTTTTTGTTCCATGTTCTCCTTAAATCAATATTTCTTCATAAGACAAAGGTATATATCTGACTTAAGTAAGTTGTCTAGTGACTACGTAAACCAAAATCTAAGCCACATGCAAATTAAACTTCATTTAAACTTACCCTAAGTTTCTAAGACCGTGGTATCTCTAAGATAGGCTGCTTTTAAAAGGAAAACAGTAACGCTAAGAGTGCCAAGAGCTACCATTTCCATCTAGAGGGCACACGGGTCCACAAGCATCAGGTTTGCACAGCTGAAAGTGATGATGTGGGTAGCTCTGAGCGCTTACCCCACCCCATATGCCAGGTCTAATCTACGTGGGTAGATTGAAGGGACATTTTAACTTGGTATCGGAGAGAAAAGACCTTTCATGAAGAGCAGAAATGGAGTGGGCTGCTTATTATTTTTTTTATTTAGATGTCTCTTCAGTTCTGACATATTTCATTCTTTATTATTGGAATTACCTATCCAAAGCCTTTTCACTTAAGGTTTGTCACAAATCATCATCCCTTCACACACTCTTTCTAGACCGAGCAAGTGACACCAACCCCTCTCAGCTCATTTCCAGCCCCCACCAACTAGTATCTTTGGAAGTAGAGACAGAGTTCACTAACAAAACTTTTAGCATGAAAGAGAACTCTGAGCTTGTAACAGGTGGAATACGACACTGGCCTACTAATCACTCACAGATGCTCAGACTCTATTCTGCAGGCGTTACGGTTAGGATTCAGAACCACCCTGATCATCTCAGGAATCCAATATTTGACAGTGACTTCCCGTGACCAAGCTCCTGGTTTGAATGAAGGCCCGAAGGAAGTCATAGAATTATGCTTGACATCCAGGCTTCTAGTTTATCAAAGACACTGCTTATAAAAATAAGTCTTTCAGTCCACCTCATTTGCAAGCACCTATATGATCATTTCATCATGTCTGAAAACTATGTAAATGAAAGCCAGGAGTGATTTGGACCTGTGATGTGGGCTTATACACAGCCCTCGAGAAGTATCACCCTCGTTTGGATTCGTCTGCCCGTTGTCATAGCTACTGATGTGCTCGAAGTGATTTCCCTTCTGCATCACAACCCGTAGTCCTTAAATGAAAATAAGTTGTTCTTCCTGCTTTATTTTTTGCTACCCATGAATCAAAACTGAAACCATAGCCACAATAGCATGGCCTTTTTTACACTCTCTCTAGCATACAAAAAGACATAAGAGATATTAAGCTTGAATAAGCTCCTGGGATTGAGGTTTCTCTCCATTTGTTCGTCAATGATTCATTGAGAGCCTAGGTGCTGAAGATACTGCCAGGCTTGGAACACAGCCCCTACCCGTGGTTGTCAGAGTGTGGGGGGCAGGGACGTGTTTCTGCAAGGTATGGACAATGACACCAGGGAAGCAGAGCAGAGAGCCATGGGATGCAGAAAGACGTTCATGAAGTCTAAGATGCTGTTGTGACCAAATCAAGGGGGTGCACCCATCTCGCTACGTTGAAGCATTGTTTCTGGACGTTCAGCAAATTATTTTCATTCGTTCTGTGTATTAGAACCTCAACGTGACACTGCATGCAGGGGTCGTGGGGCTGCAGGGCAAGGACGACAGAGTCACGACACCATGTGCCATCTGTCAGCTCTCTAGACTCACACATGCTCTCCTTTCTGTTCTGGTCACAGGAACTCCTTCACAGACATCCTTCGCGCCATTCTGCTGTCTTTGGAAGTCCTTATTGAAGATCCTGAACTTCAGATCAATGGTTTCATTCTAATTATAGACTGGAGTAATTTTTCCTTCAAACAAGCCTCCAAATTGACACCTTCTATCCTTAAACTGGCCATTGAAGGGTTGCAGGTACGTTCAACAAGATGCAATGCTCCATGTGTTTGACTGTACGTTGCCTAATTATCGCAACCCAAGTATTATCTGTCCTTTGGAGTGAATAAAATTTATCCGCGAGTGTTCCGTATTTTCACCTCAGCCTGAGCTTAAATGTTTGTTGTTTTTTTCCTAATTAGCCTTCATTTTCATTAATCGCATTAAATTGCTGTTGCTCCATGCCCAAATTGCCTGTCAGAACAATAATGACTAGAGTCTGAAAATGTTTGCCCAAATCCATGGAGGTCACAAAATGATAGCTAAGAAGCATCCGCTTTGTGATCCTATCCTGCAGAGATGGCGTGGGGGCTTCCCTGGGTCTCCAGAAGCATTTTGAGCCCCGTGGACCTTGACTTCCCAGAGGGCTCGGCACTGCAGTGTTGGTATTAAAGTAGATTGCGTCCCTGTGAACAAAGGAAGTCGATGAAGCTCAGCAGGCAGTTTACATGACATGTTGTCAGAGTGTGTCCTTTGAGGAAGAGATTTTGTTTAGAGCAATTTTCGGGGACCTTTGGCATCCCCTTATCTCCCGGAACAGTGAGCCTTTTAAGGGTCAGTGTTTCTAGGAAAAATGGCTAACTCGGAAATGGTGCTTAGCCTCCTTAAGCAGCACGTGATCAAATACAGAATTAAACGCATAATTTAAAGGCAGTCAAAAATCAGCATAGATAAAACTCACATCCCGTCTTAATTTGATAGAAAGATTTACTCAAAGCAGCGACTAGTTCCCTAATGTGTAGCTGTGTAGCAACATACAGACCTAATGTGTAGCTGCACAGCAACATACAGACGTAATGTGTAACTGCACAGCAACATACAGACCTAATGTGTAGCTGCACAGCAACATACAGACCTAATGTGTAGCTGCACAGCAACATACAGACGTAATGTGTAGCTGCACAGCAACATACAGACCTAATGTGTAGCTGCACAGCAACATACAGACGTAATGTGTAGCTGCACAGCAACATACAGACGTAATGTGTAGCTGCACAGCAACATACAGACGTAATGTGTAGCTGCACAGCAACATACAGACGTAATGTGTAGCTACACAGCAACATACAGACCATAGAGACTTTCCTCTTGATCGTCAGAATTCAGGAGTTCCACCACCCACGATATCTGGGCACCACAAGGAACGGATGGCTCCATTTCTTCAGCTGTGACATGTTCTTATTTAGCCTCCAAATACAGCCCTCACAGACCTCTGAGGAACATATGCCAATTGAATGGATTTTATGTCATTAAAACAGTTTCCTGTTCCCCAGAGGAGTAGAGCTGACATTTCTGAGGAGGTGCGTCCCACGCACAGGGTCCCAAGAATGCTGAACTGTCCTTGTGTATTGTGGGCACAGCTTAGGTAACTTTGCATGGTAACAGACTGCATACAGTGTCCCTGCTCTGCTTAAAGTGACAGACTGGCCTTCTTCACCATCAGTTGCGTTGCCTCTAGCAGCTTCCCCACCTCCTTCTCTCAGCCCTGAGTAGATCTTCTCTCTCTAACCTTTCGTTAAAGGAGAATTTAAGCATTAGTGTAAGCTGCAAGATTTAGCTCACGCTCATAATTAGGCTGGCCATTATCTCTAGGAATTTCTGTACAAGTTTCTATTTTTCTTTTAAAGAGATGGTTTTAAGTATGGGAGTTGCTGCGATTTAACTTTTATTCCTTTTTTATGACGTTCTTCCCTGGGGAGAAAATGCCCTTTAGTCAGCCCCATGTTCCAGTTTCTCTATCTGAAAAACGTGTGGATTGCAGCGCAGGCCTGTTAGCCTTACTGGGCTGGTGCTTATCTTCCTGACCTGAGTCAGTGCATGTGAGTGAAGCCATCCAAGAAGCTGAGCTATTGTCCCAGGAAATACCCCAGGAAGCTTGGTGGCTCGGGATGCATCCCATGTAGACCTTCACTTTACACGCATCGGGGTCCAAGATGAATTCCACAGCATTCCTCAGCTTCAATTAAGGGGTAACCTCTCCTGGGATGAGGAGAGATTTGTGAGATTGGAGTCAGAGGGGAAAAGGTGTGTGTTCACCTGATCTCTAGAGCCTCTTTTTATGGGCCAGTGTTGGGAGAGAGCTGCTTGTTCATCCCGGCCCCCCGAACCGAAATAATCACATAAAATCTGTATTAATTAAAACACTGCTTAGTCCATTAGTTCTAGCTTCTTATTGGCTAACTCTTGCATCTTAATTTAAGCTGTTTATTTTAATATGCATATCACCACAAAGTCATGGCCTACCAACAAAGTTTCAGCATGTCTATCTCTGGCTGCAGCTCCATGGAGTCTCTCTCTCTGCCTTCCTTCTCCCAGCATTCAGTCCAGTTTTCCCCACCTACCTAAGCTCTGCCCTATCAATAGGCCAAGGCAGTTTCTTTATTCATTAACCAATAAAAGCAACACCTAGACAAAAGGACCTCCCACATCAAGGGCAAGAAAAGCCACTCTGATTATGAGAAAGCCTCAGACCATTCTGAATTCAAACAGTCTAAATCGGGTCACAGCTCTGTCTACTTGTGCACAGGGGCCCTGAGAAAGTGATAGACCCTGCATGAAGAAGGAAGAGTATGGTCCCAAGGAAGCTGGGTTAAGGTACAGCTCCTCCATCTAGGACAGGATGCCAGTAGAAGTCTACAGCATACTCTTCTTTTTGGAAAAACCTTCAAGGAAACACATTTTTGAGATTACTAACCTGTTCCAGTTTATTTAACAATCTGAAGATTGCTTCTCAAAGAATTTTAGTTAAAACATAATCTTTGAGAACTCATGTCTTTTTTCCCTGATCTTTCTCTACTAAAATATTGTATATTTTTGAACACAGTTTCTCGCCCCTCTAATCCTCTCAGATCCTCTCCATCCTCACCCACCTATGCCCTTTCTTTCTCTCTCTGTTTTCCCTGATTTTTAAATCCTGACAATATTGTCTAAGATTCTTAAACAATCATTGCATCTGTTAATTAGAAATGCTACATTTTACTCAAATTCAGAGCTATTTGCACATGATCATTTTCCCACAGCGTAGTAAGACTCCTAGTGATCCTGGGAATTCTGTCAGAGGAGCCATACATCAAAGTCCTGCTCTTGAGATCTGTAATGTTTTCAAAATTAAGTTTTGAAGTTTTTTCTTATCAGTCATTGCAGCACAAGTCTTACAGTCAATGCCAGGTCTTTCTCAATGTGCAGCCAACTCATATACTCAGAAAGTTCACTGTGCTTCACTGATGGAAATCTATAGACACTTGTCAAGGGGCAGGGGGTATTACAAAATGTCTTGTCTCGGATTCAAATATTTGTGTGGATTTAGAGAAGCCTGTTCTTTACTCAGTTGAAGAAGTTCTAGAAATGTTTTTTGTTTGTTTGTTTTGTTTTGTTTTTTTGACACAGTGTTTCACTTGTAGCTTTGGAACCTGTCCTGGAATTTGCTCTGTAGACCAGGCTGGCCTCGAACTCAGAGATCTGGCTGCCTCTGTCTCCTGAGTGATGGGATTAAAGATTAAAGGCCTGCACCGCCATTGCCCAGCGAAATGTTTGCGTTTTTGCTTTTGTTCTGGTCTGGTTTCTCTTTTATTTTTTCTCTCATTTTTATGTCCATATCATTATTTTGCAGTTAACCTAGAAAGTTTATCAAGTCGTTAACTCCTCGCTCAAAATGTATGATGTGGTTCATTTTTGTATTAAAGATGTTTTTGTAGCTCTCGGTCAACTTTCAATCAACTTCTTTCAGACAGATTTGAATCAGAGTAATAGAAAAGATAGTCCATTTCTTCTACAGTTGTCTCCCCCTTTAACGTGTGTAACGTGTGTGTGTGTGTGTGTGTGTGTGTGTGTGTGTACTAGTACACACATGTGTGTATGTGTGGGGAGGTTAGAGGGCAACTTCAGATATTGTTCCTTTTCTTCAAGGCACAGTCTATCACTAGGACCCACTGGACAGATCTAGAACTCCGTGAAAAGTAAACCTAAGGGATCTACCTGTTCTCCATCGCACAATGTAGTATCATAGCAATATCTGTCTCACAAGTGTGTAGCAGAAATTAACTGAAAAGTAATTGTATATAACCAGTGCTTCATGGATGTCCAAGTGGTATTCAACTGATGAAGAGACAGCCCTTATCTGTGAATTCATTGGCTTTAATGCACTTGTATAATTGCAATCTGCATTAGTACCTTATCCATAAACCTGGATTTCTGAACACTGGACCTGGTCAGCCTCATCCTTATTCATAAACAAGGAAGTTCCTTATCCAATCTGTATTACCATAACTCAGACCCAGATGACATTACCTGCCTGCTCAGAGGTGCCTTTGCCTCTATTCTTGTAGTGTGATCTTTTCAATTATCACCCAGCAGCGGGAGTGAGTCCAGTCACAATGCCTTGGCATCAGTAACAGACTCGACTGAAATCTGCCTTCTCCCTGTACGACTCTTGCAACAGCAGTGTCTGCAACATCTTTGACTGTGTGTACTAAAGCGTATTCAGAACAAATTGAAAAAGAAATGTTTGCATTTTGGACGAAGAAGCTTATGAATCTGTGTCTCCTAAAGTTTGCATGTATGCTCAAAGAATATTCGCACTGAGCAAACAGGGCTTCACCTTCTCCCAGCGCGCAATGCCGTAACTCTGAATTTGTAGCAGCACAATCTGTTATTATGGAAATGCCAGAGGAATAAAAGATCTCTTTGAAAGCTCTATCTTGTTAAGTGTCAATTAAACTCAGGAAGGTAATCAGAGCTAATGACACCCTGGTGATACTGGGGCAGATAGTGCAGACCATTTTAGAAGGCTCCAGTTAAATAGGTCTATCTCCGGCATACTTCCGATAAATTGTCTTTCGGACTCCTGTGTTTTATAAACATAGCCAGTCTTCTAATTCAATTCAATCCGTGAAGAAACAATTTCTCAACTTTTATATCTAGTTAGTCACAAAGGTAAAGAGACACAGCCTCTGATGTGGGAAGGCCATGCTTCAAAGCAA